AAGGTGGCCTGTGTGCACATAGGCTTGCTTGAAGGTGGGTGGCGGCAGGTCGGCCCCGGTGCAGCACTTCGAAGCTTTGAGGGGGAAGGTAGGAAAACAACGTGAATTGAAGATGAGTAGTGTGTTTTCTGAACCACAAAAGTGTGGCGACAAGAGTTGTGCCAGCAGTGACAAGGAGGAGTTTGGCACGATGGGTAGCAATTCCAATGTCCTCATCAGTGGGAGAGCAAAGCCTCAAACCGTGCGATGAGCAGAGAGCAGAAGGGTGCAACAGAAGGCCCCGCTCTCTAGCAGCCTTTGTCTTCACAGGGCGGGGGCTCGGCCGTGATTGACATGGAGAACATGGATGACACGTCAGGCTCCAGCTTCGAGGACATGGGGGAGCTGCATCAGCGCCTGCGTGAGGAAGAAGTGGATGCCGACGCAGCTGCTGCAGAAGAGGAGGATGGCGAGTTTCTGGGCATGAAAGGCTTTAAGGGACAGCTGAGCCGACAGGTGGCTGATCAGGTAAGCAGATGGGAAAGTGGACCCATGTGTGTCCCAAGGTGACGTAGGTTTTCCAGGGAGAACCACACAGAAATCTGGCAAAGGCTGTGTAACGTTAACAGTCTAGAGCCACCAGTTTCATAATACCCATCTCCCTTCAGATGTGGCAGGCAGGGAAGAGACAAGCTTCCAGAGCCTTCAGCTTGTATGCCAACATCGACATCCTGAGACCCTACTTTGATGTGGAGCCTGCTCAGGTCCGAAGCAGGTGAGGAGTCTTCTCAGAAGAGTCTGTCCTCACATCTAGTCCCTCATCCAGACTGCAGTCAGATACTGAGCCCTGAGCTCTGGTGGTGAAAGTGTGTGCATGCTGCCCATCTTACCAGACACCGCGCTCGGACAGCACTTGCTGTGTCCTCATTCCTCCCCAGCTGGGACTCCTAGACAACTCTGCTGGCTTCTACCATGTGGCTACATAGATTTTTATTCCTGGTCGGTCTCTCCCGAGACCAAGAGCTTCTCAAAAGCAGACTCTGCTGTCTTTATCCTTTCTTTCTTTCTTTCTTTTCTTTTCCTTTTTTTTTTTTTTTT